AAACATGAGGATCACACGAGAGTCAAGCAAACACTCGAACAAACATGAGGATCACACGAGAGTCAAGCAAACACTCGAACAAACATGAGGATCACACGAGAGTCAAGCAAACACTCGAACAAACATGATGATCACACGAGAGTCAAGCAAACACTCGAACAAACATGAGGATCACACGAGAGCCAAGCAAACACTCGAACAAACATGAGGATCACACGAGAGTCAAGCAAACACTCGAACAAACATGAGGATCACACGAGAGTCAAGCAAACACTCGAACAAACATGAGGATCACACGAGAGTCAAGCAAACACTCGAACAAACATGAGGATAACACGAGAGTCAAGCAAACACTCGAACAAACATGAGGATCACACGAGACCCAAGCAAACACTCGAACAAACATGAGGATCACACGAGAGTCAAGCAAACACTCGAACAAACATGAGGATCACACGAGACCCAAGCAAACACTCGAACAAACATGAGGATCACACGAGACCCAAGCAAACACTCGAACAAACATGAGGATCACACGAGAGCCAAGCAAACACTCGAACAAACATGAGGATCACACGAGAGTCAAGCAAACACTCGAACAAACATGAGGATCACACGAGAGTCAAGCAAACACTCGAACAAACATGAGGATCACACGAGAGTCAAGCAAACACTCGAACAAACATGAGGATCACACGAGAGTCAAGCAAACACTCGAACAAACATGAGGATCACACGAGAGTCAAGCAAACACTCGAACAAACATGAGGATCACACGAGAGTCAAGCAAACACTCGAACAAACATGAGGATCACACGAGAGTCAAGCAAACACTCGAACAAACATGAGGATCACACGTGAGTCAAGCAAACAAGCAGAGTGATCTACACAGAGTGATCTACACAGAGTGATCTACATTAGAGGTCTGCTACCCGACCCGAGCCCGACGGGTCCCGAAAAATGTGCGGGTTTGGGGTCGGGTTCGGGTTAATGTTAATGAACAGCCTCGGGTTCGGGTCGGGTTCGGGTTTAACTAAGAAAAACTAAATAGGCTATATATAGTTTGCGTGCCGCGTGCTTTGCCTGCTTGCTGTGTTGTGGTGACCGGCACGCGAGAGAAAGTATAGGCTACGTGCGCAGATGTGCAATATGTGCATACAGGCTCTCTCTCTCAAATATAATGATATATAAATATATATTTTTTAATTATTTGTTTTATTTTATCATATCATTTATATCACAAAACTGTTTTGCGCATGTGCTACCGCTCTCGCGCGCTATTTCAGTCACAATACAGACAGCCGACGACAACAAGCAAACCATGAGTCTGATAAAGCAAAAAATTACTTGGTAAGTTTTTTCTCTTACTGCTGTGCTGCCTGCTGATAGGGCCGCTGCGCCTACATATATTTGTTTAATATGTCAAGCAATCATTAAATACAACATAGCATATTGCAAAAATGGTATTGCTGTGAGAAACAGAATGGACCTCGGGTTCGGGTCGGGTTCGGGCTTAATATGTAAATGTAATTGTCGGGTCGGGTCGAGTCGGGTTAAATGATCGCGGGTACGGGCCGGGTTCGGGCTTCAGTTTAAAGCCCGTGCAGACCTTTAATCTACATACAGTGATCAGCACAGAGTGATCTACGCAGAGTGATCTACGCAGAGTGACCTACGCAGAGTGATCTACGCAGAGTGATCTACGCAGAGTGATCTACGCAGAGTGATCTACGCAGAGTGACCTACGCAGAGTGACCTACGCAGAGTGATCTACGCAGAGTGACCTACGCAGAGTGATCTACGCAGAGTGATCTACGCAGAGTGACCTACGCAGAGTGATCTACGCAGAGTGATCTACGCAGAGTGATCTACGCAGAGTGATCTACGCAGAGTGATCTACGCAGAGTGATTTACGCAGAGTGATCTACGCAGAGTGATCTACGCAGAGTGATCTACGCAGAGTGATCTAGGCAGAGTGATCTGCACAGAGTGATCTGCACAGAGTGATCTGCACAGAGTGATCTACACAGAGTGATCTACACAGAGTGGTGATCTACACAGAGTGGTGATCTACACAGAGTGATCTACAGTGATCTACACAGAGTGATCTACAGAGTGATCTACGCAGAGTGATCTACACAGAGTGATCTACGCAGAGTGATCTACGCAGAGTGATCTACGCAGAGTGATCTACAGAGTGATCTACAGAGCGATCTACAGAGCGATCTACAGAGCGATCTACACAGAGCGATCTACACAGAGCGATCTACACAGAGCGATCTACACAGAGCGATCTACACAGAGCGATCTACGCAGAGCGATCTACGCAGAGCGATCTACGCAGAGTGATCTACGCAGAGTGATCTACGCAGAGTGATCTACGCAGAGTGATCTACGCAGAGTGATCTACGCAGAGTGATCTACACAGAGTGTTCTACACAGAGTGATCTGCACAGAGTGATCTACAGAGTGATCTACGCAGAGTGTTCTACGCAGAGTGATCTACGCAGAGTGATCTGCGCAGAGTGATCTGCGCAGAGTGATCTACGCAGAGTGATCTACGCAGAGTGATCCGCACAGAGTGATCTACAGAGTGATCTACACAGAGTGATCTACGCAGAGTGATCTACGCAGAGTGATCTGCACAGAGTGATCTGCGCAGAGTGATCTACGCAGAGTGACCTACGCAGAGTGACCTACGCAGAGTGTTCTACGCAGAGGGTTCTACACAGAGTGATCTACAGAGTGATCTACAGAGTGATCTACGCAGAGTGATCTACAGAGTGATCTACAGAGTGATCTACACAGAGCGATCTACACAGAGCGATCTACACAGAGCGATCTACACAGAGCGATCTACACAGAGTGATCTACAGAGTGATCTGCAGAGTGATCTGCAGAGCGATCTACACAGAGCGATCTACACAGAGCGATCTACACAGAGCGATCTACACAGAGCGATCTACAGAGTGATCTGCAGAGTGATCTGCACAGAGTGATCTACAGAGCGATCTACACAGAGCGATCTACGCAGAGTGATCTACGCAGAGTGATCTACGCAGAGTGATCTACGCAGAGTGATCTACGCAGAGTGATCTGCACACAGTGATCTACACAGAGTGATCTACACAGAGTGATCTACACAGAGTGATCTACACAGAGTGATCTACACAGAGTGATCTACACAGAGTGATCTACACAGAGTGATCTACACAGAGTGATCTACACAGAGTGATCTACACAGAGTGTTCTACACAGAGTGTTCTACACAGAGTGATCAGCACAGAGTGATCAGCGCAGAGTGATCTACGCAGAGTGATCTACGCAGAGTGATCTACGCAGAGTGATCAGCGCAGAGTGATCAGCGCAGAGTGATCAGCGCAGAGTGATCTACGCAGAGTGATCTACACAGTGATCTGCACAGAGTGATCTGCACAGAGCGATCTGCACAGAGTGATCTACACAGAGCCTGATCTACACAGAGTGATCTACACAGAGCGATCTACACAGAGCGATCTGCACAGAGTGATCTACACAGAGCCTGATCTACACAGAGCCTGATCTACACAGAGCCTGATCTACACAGAGCCTGATCTACACAGAGTGATCTGCACAGAGTGATCTACACAGAGTGATCTACACAGAGTGATCTACACAGAGCCTGATCTACACAGAGTGATCTACACAGAGCGATCTGCACAGAGTGATCTGCACAGAGTGATCTGCACAGAGTGATCTACACAGAGTGATCTACACAGAGCCTGATCTACACAGAGTGATCTACACAGAGCGATCTACGCAGAGTGATCTGCGCAGAGTGATCTGCGCAGAGTGATCTGCACAGAGTGATCTGCACAGAGTGATCTACACAGAGTGATCTGCACAGAGTGATCTACACAGAGTGATCTGCACAGAGTGATCTGCACAGAGTGATCTGCACAGAGTGATCTGCACAGAGTGATCTGCACAGAGTGATCTGCACAGAGTGATCTACACAGAGTGATCTGCACAGAGTGATCTGCACAGAGTGATCTACACAGAGTGATCTGCACAGAGTGATCTACACAGAGTGATCTACACAGAGTGATCTGCACAGAGTGATCTACACAGAGTGATCAGCGCAGAGTGATCTACACAGAGCCTGATCTACACAGAGCCTGATCTACACAGAGTGTTCTACACAGAGTGTTCTACACAGAGTGATCAGCACAGAGTGATCTACGCAGAGTGATCTACGCAGAGTGATCTACGCAGAGTAATCTACGCAGAGTGATCAGCGCAGAGTGATCAGCGCAGAGTGATCTACACAGAGTGATCTGCACAGAGTGATCTACACAGAGCGATCTACACAGAGCGATCTACGCAGAGCGATCTACGCAGAGCGATCTACGCAGAGCGATCTACGCAGAGCGATCTACGCAGAGCGATCTACGCAGAGTGATCTACGCAGAGTGATCTACACAGAGTGTTCTACACAGAGTGATCTACACAGAGTGATCTACACAGAGTGATCTACACAGAGTGATCTACACAGAGTGATCTACACAGAGTGATCTACACAGAGTGCTCTACACAGAGTGATCTACAGAGTGATCTACAGAGTGATCTACAGAGTGATCTACACAGAGTGTTCTACACAGTGTTCTACACAGAGTGATCAGCGCAGAGTGATCTACGCAGAGTGATCTACGCAGAGTGATCTACGCAGAGTGATCTACGCAGAGTGATCAGCGCAGAGTGATCAGCGCAGAGTGATCTACGCAGAGTGATCTACACAGAGTGATCTGCACAGAGTGATCTGCACAGAGCGATCTGCACAGAGTGATCTACACAGAGCCTGATCTACACAGAGTGATCTACACAGAGCGATCTACACAGAGCGATCTGCACAGAGTGATCTACACAGAGCCTGATCTACACAGAGCCTGATCTACACGGAGTGATCTGCACGGAGTGATCTACACAGAGTGATCTACACAGAGTGATCTACACAGAGTGATCTACACAGAGCCTGATCTACACAGAGTGATCTACACAGAGCGATCTGCACAGAGTGATCTGCACAGAGTGATCTGCACAGAGTGATCTACACAGAGTGATCTACACAGAGCCTGATCTACACAGAGCGATCTACACAGAGCGATCTACACAGAGCGATCTACACAGAGCGATCTACACAGAGTGATCTGCACAGAGTGATCTGCACAGAGTGATCTGCACAGAGTGATCTACACAGAGTGATCTGCACAGAGTGATCTGCACAGAGTGATCTGCACAGAGTGATCTGCACAGAGTGATCTGCACAGAGTGATCTGCACAGAGTGATCTACACAGAGTGATCTGCACAGAGTGATCTACACAGAGTGATCTGCACAGAGTGATCTGCACAGAGTGATCTACACAGAGTGATCTGCACAGAGTGATCTGCACAGAGTGATCTACACAGAGTGATCTGCACAGAGTGATCTGCACAGAGTGATCTACACAGAGTGATCTGCACAGAGTGATCTGCACAGAGTGATCTGCACAGAGTGATCTACACAGAGTGATCTGCACAGAGTGATCTGCACAGAGTGATCTACACAGAGTGATCTGCACAGAGTGATCTGCACAGAGTGATCTGCACAGAGTGATCTACACAGAGTGATCTGCACAGAGTGATCTACACAGAGTGATCTGCACAGAGTGATCTACACAGAGTGATCTACACAGAGTGATCTGCACAGAGTGATCTGCACAGAGTGATCTACACAGAGTGATCTGCACAGAGTGATCTACACAGAGTGATCTGCACAGAGTGATCTGCACAGAGTGATCTACACAGAGTGATCTGCACAGAGTGATCTACACAGAGTGATCTGCACAGAGTGATCTACACAGAGTGATCTGCACAGAGTGATCTGCACAGAGTGATCTGCACAGAGTGATCTGCACAGAGTGATCTGCACAGAGTGATCTACACAGAGTGATCTGCACAGAGTGATCTGCACAGAGTGATCTACACAGAGTGATCTACACAGAGTGATCTGCACAGAGTGATCTACACAGAGTGATCTACACAGAGTGATCTACACAGAGTGATCTACACAGAGCCTGATCTACACAGAGTGTTCTACACAGAGTGTTCTACACAGAGTGTTCTACACAGAGTGATCAGCGCAGAGTGATCTACACAGAGCCTGATCTACACAGAGCCTGATCTACACAGAGTGTTCTACACAGAGTGTTCTACACAGAGTGATCAGCGCAGAGTGATCTACGCAGAGTGATCTACGCAGAGTGATCAGCGCAGAGTGATCTACACAGAGTGATCTGCACAGAGTGATCTACACAGAGTGATCTGCACAGAGTGATCTACACAGAGTGATCTGCACAGAGCCTGATCTACACAGAGTGATCTGCACAGAGTGATCTACACAGAGTGATCTACACAGAGCCTGATCTACACAGAGCCTGATCTACACAGAGTGATCTACACAGAGTGATCTGCACAGAGTGATCAACTGTACACACACACACTGACCTGAGCGACTCGGAAACACAGACACACACACCCACACACACTGACCTGAGCGACTCGGAAACACAGACACACACACACACACACAGACACCACACAGACACCACACAGACACCACACAGACACCACACAGACACCACACAGACACCACACAGACACCACACAGACACCACACAGACACCACACAGACACCACACACACACCACACACAAACCACACACACTGACCTGAGGGACTCGGATCGGTTGAACTGTCTGCAGTCCGGAGAGGAGAAGTACCGGTCGATGTCCTGCAGAACACTGAACACATCGCTTTCATTCCTGAACACAGAACATACACACTGACACGATGACCTCAGGTGTGTGTGTGTGTGTGTGAGTTTGTGAGAGTGTGTGTGTGTGTGTCTGTGAGTGTGTGTGTGTGTGTGTGTGTGTGTGTGTGTGTGTGTGTGTGTGTGTGTGTGTGTGAGAGAGTGTGTCTGTGTGTGAGAGAGTGTGTCTGTGTGTGAGAGTGAGTGAGTGTCTGTGGCTGTGTGTGTGTGAGTGTGTGTGTGTGTGTGAGAGTGACTGTGTGTGTGTGTGTGTGAGAGTGTGTCTGTGTGTGTGAGTGAGTGAGTGTCTGCGGCTGTGTGTGTGAGTGTGTAAGTGTATGTGAGAGTGTGTGTGAGAGTGAGAGTGAGTGTGTGTGAGAGTGTGTGTGTGTGTGTGTGCGAGTGAGTGTGTGTGTGTGTGTGTGTGTGAGTGAGTGTGTGAATGAGTATGTGAGTGTGAGAGTGTGTGTCTGAGCGTGAGTGAGTGAGTCTGTGTGTGTGTGTGCGAGTAAGTGTGTGAATGAGTATGTGAGTGTGAGAGTGTGTGTCTGAGCGTGAGTGAGTGAGTGTGTGTGTGTGTGTGTGTGTGTGTGTCTGAGCTTGAGTGAGTAAGTGTGTGTCTGTGGCTGTGTGTGTGTGTGTGTGTGTGAGTAAGTGTGTGAATGAGTAT